TGTGTGTGTGTGTGTGTGTGTGAAGGTTCAAACGAGAACATCTATATTTTACGAGAACGTGAGAACACCTTTATCACATGTAATAATACGTGTAAGGAGACCATGTGATATGCGGACGATGTATTTATATTCCCACGAATAATATGACGAGAATCGTTAAAATCTTCCACGGATATTCTTAGTAAAGTGGAAAGGAACCAATTCTTGTATTACCGGACTTCTCGTTCACCCCCAAATGGAGACACGAAAGAGTTGACCAGAAGATGTCAAACCACTTATCGGATGAAGAAGTTGTAAAACACAAGAAAAGTCTTATTATCCAACAACTATAACATAATTTGTCTGAAATATGTCATCTAAAATCCAACTCCAACAACTATTCCATTTTTAGCAATTCTAACATTAATTATATTATTTAAATTACCGCTAAATGAAAAAGAAAACCAAAATATTTACTTTAGCACAAGTCATTGAATATATATATATATATATATATAGAGAGAGAGAGAGAGAGAGAGAGAGAGAGTTGGGATAATGTGAAACTAAGGGTTTTTCGTGAGACCCATAAGACCAATTTATGTTCATTGATCAACTTTATAAGCTAATAATCTAATAGTCTAAAGTTGTGCGGTGACAATTTTGTGATTATGAATATTTAGATTGTAGATCTAAATCCAAGGGTTGAAAGTTGGTCTTACGGGTCTCACGAAAAACCTTTAGTCTCACATGATCCCAAGTCTCTCTCTCTCTTTTTTTCTCTCTCTCTCTCTCTCTCTCTCTCTCTATATATATATATATATATATAATGCTTTTAAAACATCTCCAACATGTATGCTATATTTTCTCTTCTTTCAAATTTGGAGATTTATTCTCTCTCCTATCCTTCTCTACTACAAAGGATAATCTGACACAGCTGTTAAAATAAACAGATAAAAAGTTGACTTTCTCAAGGAATACATAATTAAACTAAGGTCCTTCACATTAAAGAATAAATAGGCTAAAGGCTCACCAGTAGCATAGATAGACATGTTTCTTTTAACCTTTCCCTCACGGTGTTACTTCGCTATCAATTACCTAACAGTATTTAATATTGCAAAGCAGTTTTTCTCAAATCTCCATTTCTTAACAATAACATAGCTATTAGAGATACAGGTGTGCATCAGACAGATTCAGACGGAAAAACCAAAAATCTGATCTAAGCATAAATTCCATAATTAATTAAATTCATAATTATTTTTTAGTTTATAATAAAATTATATATTTATATATTTTTTGATTGGTGGGAAAATTTAATGAATTTGTTGGTAATGGATAACATGAAGCATGAAAATGAGGCCAATTGGAAATCCCAACATGTGATGTATATAGCAATTTGGCAACTTGGCCCAATCACATTCACATAAAAAAAAGTTAGATATTATAATTTTTATTTAAAAATTAATTTTTTATATATATTTTTTTATTAATCTAGATATCCAACCTGTTATACGATCTGACTAATCCTGGGAGACTACTCGTTTTGTGGGTAGCCGAAGTCACCGCATTTGAACCTCCGTGACCACAAGGGGATTTTTATTCCTATTTGGATTCAAACCTGGAATCTCATACACTTTTGTTTTTTGAAACCCAAACTTAAATCGATCAGGTACCAACCGAATGGTTATTTTTCATTTTATTTTATAATAAAATAGTGATTTAAAAATTGTTTATGGGTTAGAAAATGTTTAAAGCTTTATAAAAGTATAACACATGTAAGATTCAATTGGATTGGGTTGAAACAGTTGGTTACAATATTTTCAACAAATGGAAAATCAAATGTCGAAATTTTTACAGATTTTTTTTATTAACCTGGATATTCTACTCGTTATGTGAGCCGACTAATCCCAGTACGACCACCTGTTTTGCGGGTAGCCTGGAGTCATCGCATTTAAACCTCCGTGGTCACAAGAGGATTTTTATTACTCCTTTTGAACATGAGACCTCTATACACTTTTGATATTTGGAGTCAAGCTCAAACCAACCAGGTACCACCTTTGTGGTTCGAATTCAATGAGAAACAAAAATCCCCTTTGTGGCCACAAAGGTTCAAATGTGGTGAATCTGGGCTACCTGTGAAAAATGATAGTCGCTCTGGAATTAGTCGGCTTGGATAACGGGTTGGATATCTAGATTAATAAAAAAAAATTATATTCATCTATTGCAGTTCTTTTATTTAGAAGATTATAAATGAATTATATGGTTAAAATATTTAATATATTTTATAAAATATTATTATTATTTTCTCTTATAGTAAGATACACTAATAAAAAAAACCTTGAAATTGTTTATAGAAAAAACAATATTTTATTAAAAATATGAAATATTTTAATAATATAATCAATGCTGTAATTTCCAAATCCAAAAACAGTTGAAATTGGACTTCTTTTTTAATAAGATTTGTATTTTTAATTTACAATTTTAAAGAATTTGTTGAAAATGTTATGTACAAACTAAACAAGAGCGATGCTTTTATTAAATATATCAGAAGGACCAAGAAATAGAGATTCTAAGCTACGGGGACATCAACCGTTCATCAACGATGTCATCAGAACCAACCATCTTTTTCTCGTTATCGACCAGCCCGTCATCCCATCCAAGGCCAAGACTTACCGAGACGTCTTATCATATGGTGATTCAGTTTGTTTGAGGTGAGAGTTACGATTTATTCGAGCTAGTTTTGTCGGTTTGAAAGCCTTTAAATAACCTAACCCAATGGTCGTGAGTACTTTGTATCAATTACGTCATGTGTTATCTCGAGTTAAGTTGGGTCGGTTTATCGAGTTTTTGTGCACCACTTAAAACAGGATTAATTATAAATAAGACAATTTAGAAACATCTAATTGAAGTTAAAGATAATTAAAAAAGCAACTTAAAAATCAATTTTGTTGTAACGATTTCTTTCTTCTCAAATTTGATCATAAAAAGCAAAATTAGGCATTTGTCCTAGCGGTATGTGAGTCTTTGTCCTCCTAGGAAGTCAGGGGTTCAAATCTCACCAAGGGTGAGAAAGATGTGTGAATTTATTTGTTTTATTTGTATTTGTTGTTTATAAATTATTATATACTTAAAAAAATCAGAATTAAATTCATGAAATAGTACAAAACATCCAAAAAATAGTATAGCCTAGAGCCTCTCTCTCCAAGAAACAGGCCTAGAAAGCCCGAACACAAAGCCTAGGCCCGATCTTAGAGCTTAATTTGTTGAACTTTTTTCAAGACTCGGTTAAAGCTCAACCTAAAAAAACCCTGAAAGCCAGATCGGCCTTCTTTTAACCACAAAGCCCGATCTTTTTTAATTCACGAAAAAACATGCATTTGAATCGGGCCTTCTTTAAACCATAAAGCCCGAGTTTTTTTAATTCACTTAAGAACATGGATTTGAAATCGGGCTTTCTTTTTAACCACAAAGCCCGATCTTTTTTAATTCACTGAAAAACATGCATTTGAATCGGGCCTTCTTTAAACCATAAAGCCCGAGTTTTTTAATTCACTGAAGAACATGGATTTGAATCGGGCTTTCTTTTTAACCACAAAGCCCGATCTTTTTTAATTCACTGAAAAACATGCAGTTGAATCGGGCCTTCTTCTAACCACAAAGCCCAAACTTTTTTAATTCATTGAAAAACAGTGTAATCTAGACCGTGTAATCTGCGATACAACATACAACTAGTGAAAAATATCGATCGAAAGCGATCGACTATACCGAAGGGTGGATCGAAAACGAAGATCTCGAACAAAAAACCGAACATGAATATCGTCATTAGACTTCATTATCTTTGTCAAAAGTATTTCACACTACCAAAAATGATAACAAATCACTATCAAATCAACAAAACCCTAAAATCGCACGTCCAACTAAAACAACAAGAACATTTGCAATCACTCAAGAAAAATGGATTCCGGCTTGGTTAAATAGCGATAGCAAATGCATAAAATCCGCTTGTGCGAGTTTCGATGATCGTTTTTCTTCGAATTCTCCTTGTTTCAACACACCGAGAATCTTTTCTTTGAATTCCGACCCTTTTTTCTCACCATCGTCCATTTCCATATCATCAACGTCATCGTCATTGTCTTCGGCGTCGTCATCGGCCAACATGGTCAACTCACTGGAATCTCCAAGAACAGAAGCATCTGTTGCCATTTGATCGTCGGTACCCTGAGAAAGTTGTAACGCTTGGAGGGTTTTGTAGTTTTTCTCGAGAATTGAAAGTACACGTTTCTGCCTGAAGATTGCTCCGAGGGTTTTGTTCTTTCTGGTGAAACAAATTCGGACCAAACCGTCCCATTCTTTAAAGTTGACCACCGGGGCCGGTTTTCTTGGCTCGATTCTGACAACTGACGAGTCGACTTTTGGTGGGGGCCGGAAGTTGTTTCTTCCAACTTTTAGTAAGTGGGAAACGCGAGATAAAAGTTGGGTGTTTACCGAAAGGCGGCAATAGAGAGTGTCGCCAGGTTGAGCCACTAATCTCATGGCGAATTCCCTTTGGAACATTATCACCGCACATCTGAATAACGGCCGGTGATTTAATAGTTTGAAGGTAAGAGGAGATGATATCTGGTACGGAATGTTGGCTACGCAAATGTCGAAATACGGAAGATCGCATTTGAGCACATCTCCTTGGATAACCTGTAAAAAGTGTCGAATTTGAGCACTGAATGTTAGCCACACAAATGAGCAATTTTGGACAAATATTGGAAATAAAACCAAGGGTTAGGTTCACGTGAGACCAGTCTGTTTCCGTGAGACCACAAAATAACACTGAACCTTCACAACAAAACATTGTGAAGGTACAATTTATGTGATCTCACGGGTCCCGCAAAAACAGTCCGGTCTTGCATGATCCCAAGTCATAAAACTAAATCAAACCCATGAAGTCAAACAAACCCATTGAGTTGAGTCTCACATAGAGGTAAAGTGTGTGAAAAGAAATAATCAATCCTTGTCTAGTTACATAAACCAACCATGCAACTAACTCATATTATTAGGACGGGTAACGGAACCTAAAATTGATTAGGAACCAGGGAACCGCCCATAGCACGACACGTGGCATATTCATCATAAATAACACATCCATATTCATCATGAATGAGCGATTCAAGATAAATGACACCTCCATCTTCATCATGAATGAGTGATTCAAGATAAATGACACCTCCATCTTCAGCATGAATATTCATTCTGAAGAGGGACACGTCGGGTGTTGTGAGCGGGTTCCTATCATCAATTTAGGGTTCCTAACATAACTTCCCTTTTGTTAAGATACCTATAATGCACTATGGGATTCTTGAAAAAAACATTAATTTAAAGAATAATACTTGCCTTGAGTCGGTTAGAGAACGGGGTGCCCTGAAAACGACGCTGCAACTCGAGGACCATACGTGGGTCAAGCTCAACAGCAACAACAGACTTTCCAGCTTCTAGAAGTTTCTTGGTAAGATTTCCCGTACCAGGACCAATTTCAAGAATCACATCCGTGCTATTGATGCCAGCTTTCTGGACGATCGAATCAACGAGTAAAGGGTTCTTCAGAATATGCTGACCCTTTGATTTATGGAACGATATACCTCCTTGATAGTGATTCGAAGACCCCGCACCTCCACGTGCAGGCTTTGCCTTCACGATTTTCCCTCCTGCCATGCTTTCTCGGTGACCGATAAAGAAGACTTTCCTGTTAATGTCAACGTATTTCTATCAGATTCCAGTTCTTACTTTCGGCAATCAAAGAAATTGGTTTCTAAACTCAAAACAATAAGAAAAAAAAACAAGCTAATGAACTTAACACGTTGATGTAAAACTTCAATTTGACAAGTAAAACATCCAAACTTTCAAAATTAGCAATCCTCAACACGATAACAAAACCTCAGTTTCATAATACGGTTTTAGCTTTGACTTGGGTAGTTTAGCAATTTACTAATTGTCTCGTCTCTCTATCTAATGCCACACCAAACACGGTACAACAAGTTTTTGTACTGTCATGCCATATCCCATCTACCAAACGCACCCTAAATGAACTCAGCTCAGGGGCATAACGTGTTCGGATATGAAGCACATTCGATTTCCATGATTCCTAAATGAAGTCAGGGGAATACTGTTATTCTTGCATATGAATTTTTACTCATTATTTGATTGGTATAACGAATGCTGCCCAACTTTCAGTTCAAAGTTCAATATGGACAAACCGAAATAAATACAAGTTCTCAAAGGCTCAAACTTTGACAAGTTTGGCAAAACATACACACAAATCAAACAGAGAAGTTCACGAGACAATTAGCAAGAATGCTTAGAGAAAAGTACAGCTCAAGAACCCTACAAAACCCTAAAATCGAAGCAATTGACAAATCTACAACTAGAATCCTACAAAATCATAAAAATCAAAGTAATTGACATATCTACAACTACGAAAGCCTAAAATCGAAGCAACTGACAAATCTACAACTAGAATTCTACAGAATCCTAAAATCGAAACCACAGCTTAAGAGCATAATCAATACATAAATTCGAAACCCTAACCTGAAAGTTCTGCAGAGTGGGGAAAAGGGTTGATTGCTTGATTAGTATAAAAACCTAACGTGAAGGCTGAACCGTAGAGAGTTGTGATTCCAGTCCAGGAGGAGCAAAAATTAAGCAAATCATTCACAAATTCACAAAATCAAACACGAACAAACCCTAAAAACATAAAATCCAAAAACAGAAGAGAAAAAACCAATGAAACGTTAACCTGCCTGTATGCAATTGTAGCCGACGAAGGTAGGAGGCGAAATCAATGGTAACGAGGAGAAGGTTTTTGTAGGTCTAAAACTTTTGTAGTTTTACATACTCAATCCTTTAACTTTTATAAATTGAAATACACCCCCTCATTTATCACTTTGTACGATAACAATTTGAAAATTAATGTTTGACAATTGCTGAATGGTTTGGTGCAAAATGATTAAGTGATCAAAATGATTAAAAAACTCTCATGATATAATGCAAAATGAAATATAATTGTTTGTTAATTGTGTACAATGAAATTAGGGCTCTTAATGGTTAAGGGAGATCCATGATACAAAATCATTCAGGGGGTTTTAAAACCATTAAGATGCAGAATTTGTTTTGCCAAACAAGATTCATCTCTTAACGATTCAGAGGTTGATTTTTAATGGAACTATTAAGAAGTAAACAAATAACCCCCTAAGGCATCTTCAACCATAGTCTCTGAAATAAAGAAAATAGAGTTGTATTGTTTTAACAGATTTTTAAAATAAGAGAACGTTTGATTTGATGGAATGATTTTCAGGTATTTGGATTTTCGTGGAATGATGTGGAATTTAAAGGTTTTGAAATCTTTGATGTGTTTGGTTTATAGGATTCAAAATGGAACTGAATTCTATTTTTTATAAAAACAAATTAATGTTTTTTTATTTGCTAGTAATAATTTTCTTAATATCGTTAACTTTGATTTTGTTTATTGGGTCGTTTACCAAACACTTACCCGTGAATGATTACCGGTAAGTCTAACACTATTATTTACTTGTTGGGTAAGATTTTAGTCCACCACAAAAACAACATTGTATGCAACAATTTACCCGGTAAGCGTTTACCATGGTAAGAGTCGTCGCCCTCACTTACCTGGTAGGACTCTTGGTCATTGTCTCGTTTTTACCGGGTAAGATTCTTGGTCCTTCCCATCTTCATCCGATTAGGTAGCGTGACTTGATAAAGGCTTACCTGGGTAAGCATTTGGTAAACGGCCCCTACATGTTTAAATATTTATTTTTGTACAAAAACAAACAATCTGATTGATTCTGTTTTCCAATTTCAACGTCATATTTTATCAATAAGAATTAAACAAGACTTTGGAATTCAGATTTCAATATTTCTTAAAAGATAAACTAACACATTAATATGTTAGTGATATTTAAGGCTTTTTTAGATTTTGTATCTTGCATTTTAAGAGTCTTAGAGACTGTTTAATAAACGTTTTACCCTGTAAGAGTTTATTAGATCACTTATCTTACCAGATGAACATGACAAAGATCGAAAATCTTACTCAGTAAAAGCAATGACAATGGCAAATAGTCTTACATGGCAAGTGAATGTGATGACTTTTACCCGTTTAACGTTTATCGAGTAAATTGTTGTACTCGATGTCATTTTAATGGACTAGAATTTTATCAAGATAAACTAAAAATGTTGACTTTTATAAGTAAGACTCATATCCTATTGGTTTGAAAGTTGGACATAAGTCAAGTAGTCAACCTGTGTTATAAATCATGTTTTACAAGGCTCGCCACAATAATTGTTGTGGTTCAAGACTTGTGTATGATGTCACGTTGAGCCTATGGCACCCCATGGCTAAATGCACAGTTTTTGAAACACAATATTTGATTTTTCTTATCATTTTAATGTCTTAGGGGGTGTTTGGGATCGCTTATCTGAAACAATTTATACTTATCTACAAAAGTCTTTGTCAACTTATTATAAGTTAAAATGGTTTAAATTCTTCAAAAACTTCTTATTACCGGTATAAGTTGTTTATCCAAACACTCAAAAGTGATTATTACCGGTGCCACCCCGAAATAAGTCGATAAGTTGTTTTTATAAGCAATCCCAAACACCCCCTTGTTAGGTTTTAACCGATAACCTAATATAAATTGTTTAATATCATTAACTAATTGAGTAACAGTAGAAAACATGTTTATATATATATATATATATATATATATATATATATATATATATATATATATATAGGGTTGGGTTCACATGAGACCAAAGATTTTTCATTAGACCCGTAAGACCAATTTATGTTCATTGATCAACTTTATAAGTCAATGATCTAATAGTCTAAAGTTGCACGGTGACAATTTTGTGATTATTGAGAAGTCTCATGGCAATTTTGTGATTATGAATGTTCAAATTGTAGATCTAATCCAAGAGTTGAGAATTGGTCTTACGGGTCTCACGGAAAACCATTGGTCTCACATGATCCCAAATATATATATATATATATATATATATATAATACATGATATAGATATTTGCCGTCATAAGTCACACCTTTAAAAAAAACGTTGTAGTCTCATCGTGACTCCTAAGGCTTTGAGGCTTAGCCCCGCCCCGCGTTGTTTATAGTCATGTTTATCATTTCGAACCTTGGCTATAAACAAGATTATAATGGTGTGAAACATGACATTACAAGCATATCGAAACTTAAGCCTTTGTATACACAACGTTTTTCAGGGCATGACTTACTTTGGTATACAATCGTATACAAGTACGAGCATTTCACCCTTGTGACACGGCAAGGTCGGCAACCACCATGACATGCCTTTTAGAACATCGGTTATAAACAACTAAACGAATGGAACTCAACTAGACAACACATTGATATATTCTTGTTTTAGATCACACTACATTTGACATCTAAAAAACACGATACCGTAAGATCCAAATTTCACACATCAGTAATCGTTGGTGTCCCTTTGTTACATGATTATTTGGTTGTGTTAAACATACTTCAAAATGTCGATGCAAGCTGCTATCGTGAAGCCTTGTTCAACGAGCTTCGTACTGAACAACTACAACGGACAATGTATGCAAGAATCAATCAAATTGGTTTGTTATATGGATAAATAACGAAAAAGAAAAGTACATCATATACTAAACTTATCATGCTATAAGAAAGTCTAAACATGATGACATGGATCGTGTGAGAATTGAAGTTAAGTTGAGAAGCGTAATGAGGGATCTGGACCCTTGACAACTTTTAATCTCACCCTCACTCCATGAATTGCGCTTCTCACGGAAATTTATACAGTGCAATCCAATTAGTATTGATCAAAGGGTGGACGTTCCTTCTTATCCTTCTCACCATAACTTTCATTCTCATTGGAGCCCAAGCCAAACATGAAAGCATACAAAATTCTAATATCTACTTACAAAAACAGCTATTGTCATAACATCTTCGGCCAACCGTACCGAATATTGTCTGTTTATCCGCATTACTCAAGGTTTTAAAACACCTCTAACAGAAGATGTATCCAGCCCCCTATAACACAACCTTTGTTCCCTCCCAGCTGATGTGGGATGTCACAATTGCAACACGTAATCTCGTGTTTGTTATGGGTGCGTTTTGGTACAAAGACAGGACTGCACTGAATAGGCGAGCATGATGTAGGCAGGTGAAAGAATTGTGGAAGTTTTAAGGTTTTAGTTTGGCATAGGTAGTTTAGTAATTTACCAAGCTTGTCTGATCCCCCGATTTTTGTTCCACCTATTCTAGTGGGACAGAAAAATTTATTTTTGTCTTGCTCAGTCTTATTTAGTCCCTGTATAACTGTCGCACCAAACATGGGACAACAAGTTTTTGTTTTGTACTATCCAACGTACCAAAAGCATCCTATAAGATGTTAACAAATTTCATGAACGAATCCAAAAAGAAGAATCACACGGTTCGAATAGGGTGGTTTGCATTATGGTGACTAAGGTTACATGCCTGTCTCTTAGCAGCTTAATGGGAGACACAACTTATTCGCTTAGCTATACATGATCGTTTGGTAGCGGCTTAATGATATAGAAAGTGGTTTATTCAGTAAGCTCCTAGGGGAGATTTATACAAAAAACCACGTTTTTTCCAAACCTGCCCCGCCCAATTAAAATCAAGCTCTTTCCATCTATGCTCCAAACAAAAACATTTTCAATCCGTGTTTGGTTTAGGAAAATACCAAGTTCAAATTAAACCCGAATGAAAATGCCAAGGGCCAGTTTGGTTTGCGGGGTTTGGAATTTGATTTCATTCCAATCCGTGTTTGGTTTAGGGGAAGGTCCGGAATTGTAATCCCACAAACATTGGATTTAGAAATCCTATGGGGAGAGTTGGTATTTCATGGGATTTCATAGGATTTATTTGTGATAACGTTTTATTTTGTAATAATCAATTAGTAAAAGGTAATTTAATTAATTTAAGATATGTTAAAACTATATATAAGAACAAAAACAAGGAGGAATGGGGTTTTCTGAAGTAAAGTTCTCTTAGGCATCCGGTGGTATTGCCATTAAACACTACTTAATAAGTTTGCAATCGTTCTCAAGTGAGACCGACTAACAGCCCAAGTCACGTTCTTGAACATAATCTACGTGCTTGAATTCCATCAATCTAGCAATAATTGAAACCTAATATATACCACTCCCACACCCTACAGCATCTCCAGCAAATTCTCCAAAATGGAGAAAATAAGATTTTGGAGTTTTTAATATATTTTTTACTCAAATAGATCCTCCAAAACTTTCTTCAAAATATAGAAACTAGAAGAAAGAGGGTAAAAATCTCCAAATTTTAGAGAACCCTCCAAAATTTATGCAGGGGAGAGAAATATTTTTTATTGTTCCCACCAATGAAGTTGAATGTATTATCATTTTATACAAAGTTTATTTGAAAGTTGCTTCGGGATAATTTATCTTGAAATCTCCAAAATGGAGAAACCTTTGGAGATAGAATGTAATTCTTTTGGAGATTTTAACTTTAGCTTCTCCATTTTAGAGAAATTATAGATAATCTGTTGGAGATGTCTAAAGGTTTGCTTGGTTTGGTTTGGTTTGGTTTGGTTTGGTAACTAGAGTAGATAGCAAAGCTATGTACGAATGCATAATTGGAGTAAGATAGAGGTTTCAGTGAGATAATTACTTCTACGGGTCCGCTTCTTGTACAGGATACGGTAACCACACTCCCGACACTGAATCACATCACCAACCTTCAACGTATTCTCCTGCCCACAATCTACATCACAAATCAGTTCAATCAATTACCACACCAAAGATAATTAACCAAAAGGAAATAATTCAACACTACCAAACTATCATCTATCAATGTTATTTGATTCGTCATGATTACCAAATACAACGATTTCCCCATGGTATATGTATGTTTTAGTAAACACCGTTAAGGGTTTTTTTCTTTTGCAAAGGTTATGAACAATACGAGTCCATTTCTTTTACAAACCCAATATTCTATACAAACTAACAAACCAATTTTCATAACATGTGTGAGACTTAAGTGTTTATACAATCTTCAAGGTTCTAAATGACGTGAGGCGTGGCATGGCAGCGAGGCCAAGCCTCAAGAGTCTTTCAAGGTGTGACTCATAGTCTGGTAGCGCGGCCAAGCCGCAAGACCACAACGTTTCAAGGTGTGACTTATGGCGGCAAATCTCTATATCATATATAATATTATATATACATATAAACATATGTTTTTTACTATTACTCAATGATTCAATGATAATAAACAAGTTAAATTAACTTACATGTTAATACTAATACAAATATGACATTAAAAAAGAAAGAAAAATCAAATATCGTGTTACAAAAACCGCGCATTAGGCCATGACGAGCCACAGGCTTAACATGGACTGAAGCACAAGCCTTGAGCCACGCCATGGCTGTTGTTGCGATGAGCCTTCTAGAACAGTGAGTAAGTGTTGCATATGTGAATGGTTCAGCACTATTCTTTTCCGTACATAAAGAGATACCGAACATTTCACATATGAAACAACAGTGTATAAGCACTGCATTTCCGAGCGTGTTACACATGAAAACTGGGTTGTGAGTTTGTACAATTAATTGGTTTCGTAAATGATTATGCGTCTACGAAATAATGAGCAAATAATATCAAGAAAACCGACCTCCGCATATGTAAGTAACTGGTTCTGGCTGTGGATCCATCGATAACTGCAAAACGATAACGAAGTAAGCGATTATTACATATTTGAGAATTCAATCAACATGGAATTAGAAAACAATAATGGCGGTCACACGAGCCCTAGGGTTTTGTGATTTATTTTAGGACCTATCTGAAACACAAATCCATAAAATCAAACACGAAAAACCCCTTAAAACATAAAACTGAAAACAATTACACTAACATACAAGCAAAAACCAATCAAACGCTAACCTGCGCTGTCTCCGATCCGATTGTTGGCGTCTCCGATTTGACTCCGACGAAATCGAGAAGCGAAGTAGTCGTATCGAGGGTTTTGGAGAGGTTTTTCTAGGTCTAAAAGTTTGTATTTATACATATTCAACCCTTTAAGTTTCATAAGTTGAAATAATCAATCCCTCGTAAATTAATAGTTGAGCTTCAGTTGAATTTGGTCCATGTGGTTTGGTAGTTCTTTACAAAAATGGTCCCTAAACTTCATTTATTGCAAATTAAGACTTGTTGTATGTCATTTTGTAACTACTGGTCCCTCACCCTAACAGCCATCCACTCCATCCATTAAAGTTAAGGATATTTCCGTCATTTTATAATTCTCTCCATTTTAACATCGAGTTTTTTTGTCTTTTAACTTTTTGTCCTTTTATATATCTGTCTTTTTCTGCATTTTCATAAATCTCCCAACACAATAGAGACCAAAATGTAATTAACTGCATTGGGTGTGTGTATATGTGTACATCATATATACGCATATTTTCCGACAAGATATTTTCCGGCGTATTAAAGAGATATTTTCCAATATACTAACTCGCCTCCCACGCCATATTTTCCGACGAGATGACCCCTCCCCTTCCCCATTATATATCACACCCATTGCCTCCCTAGCCGTATTTTCCGACAAGATCGCCCCCTCCCGCCCCCCTTTCCCCCATCTTTTCTTCTTTTGCCCGACGAACTATCTCCACCCGCCACCTTCGTCAATCACCTCAACTTGCCACCTTTCTCCATCACCACCAACCCTGTTTTAAACACACACACACTGCTAAATACATGCACACAACCCCACACACACATATATACACACACACACTCTCTGTTAAACACACACACATCCACACCACACATATATTCACACTTTGTCTCTCTTAAACACACATTCACACATTGTTAAAACATATACACACAACCACCCATATATATATACACATACTTTATGACTTTCTACTAAACACAAACATATATATATATATATATATATACCCTCTGTTAAACATACACTTTAAAAACACATCTCAGCAGTCTGTGTGGGAGTCATCTTTGTAGTGGGGGCGAAGGTCTCGTCAGAGATCTATTGGAGATTAAGTCAGATATCTTATCGGAGGTTAAGCCAGAGATCTTAGTGGAGATAACGTCAGAGATCTTATCGGAGGTGATGCTAGAGATATTATCATAGGTTAGGTTGGAGGGTTTGAGGGGTGGGGGCGTGGGGTGGGTTTCCATCGGGGATAGAGATGGAGAGTTTTAATATAAGAAAAACAAAAACAAAAAGTATTTTGAAAAATGGGTAAAATGACCATTTTCCCCTTATCTAAACGTAGTTAATGGAAGAAGGTAACCACTGTTAGGGGCGAGGAACCAATATGTTACAAATTGACATACGACGAGTCCTAATATGTAATAAATGAAATTTATGGACCATTTTCATAAAACCAACAAACCACAAGTACCAAATCCGTAATTTACTGTATTAATTATATTATTTAAATATTTCATAAATTTAATAAAACATTGTTTTGTCTTGTAAATATTTAATTTCGATGTCTTTTATCGATAGGAATATGATAAAATTGTATTTATCTTTTACATGAATCGTTTTTTAAGAGTTTCTCAAATTTGAAAATTCCACAGCATCGACGCATACGTAGGATTCCTAAGGCTCATTTTGAGTTGCGTTTCTTTAAACTTGAACACGATTCCTTATGGAATATGCCCGAGCTTATGCTTGAATTCGAACTCAAATTGTATAAAGTTATACTTATTGAGCTCAAGTTACTGGATTAAGGGGCCTTTTACATAAACATTTACCGGTAAAATTCAATACTATTGATTACTTACCAGGTAAGATTTTATTCACTTAAACGCATCGTATGCAACAAAATTTATCTCGGTAAGCGCTAACCATGGTAAGAGTCGTCATCCTCACTTACCTGGCAAGACTCACGATTATTGTTTTCACTCTTATCGACTAAGATTATTAGTCGTTATCATATTCATCATGTAAAGTAAAGTGACATGGTAAACGCTTACTCAGGTAAACGTTTGGTAAACGACACATAATTCGGCTTTATCGAGCTCAAGTTACCGGATAAAGTTGGATTAATTTATAACGCTAGTTGCATTTAATAATCTAGTCTAATCTAGATTAGAGGTGTTTCAAATGTGGCCTAAATTTGACCATTCCACCATCATTTAATACTTTTTAGCCATTTGGATTATTTTTTCCCAAAACAATCATATTTTAAGAAGCACGTAATAATTGTTGTAATAAAACTGGTTTTTAAATAAAAAGTAAATTGTATGGAAAAGTAATTTACTTTAATTTGATTTTTATTTTAAGTAATATACTTTTAAAACTTTTATTTTGATACTTAAAATGTGATGTTTTGAATCCTTAATATCTTAAGAGGTCAAATAAATACCATTTGGTTTCTCATTTTGTAAACCAAATGTTGATCTCATGATCATAAATCTCATCAACAAATATTGATGGTACATTTTATGGGAGGTAATTCTTTCCCTCTATAAATAAGGGTTATATATTGACCACGAATAACTTGTTGTTACAAGACAGATAGATTGGATTGGTCGGGTTGCTCAGGTTGGTCGAATTCTTGTGCACCCCTAGGTTGGGCAGCGTGAACCGGCTCGGGGGCTATTGGTCAAAAAAACTTTTTTTGCGCAAACAAGAGTTAACATTGTCGGTAACTTTGCGTTTCTTCAAACCCACATGATGAGTGATGTATTTCGTGTAAATTATTATACAAGCGATGTACGATCTTCAAATTCCGAAAGGCTAAGAAATTCTATCGAATCCCACTGCGGGACATTCCTCTACACCGTACAACGTGAAGTACGCTCATTCTTATACATTACAATATACATATACACACGGTGTATCAAAATTGTATCATTGACCGGTTGCGTGTGATGAATCCGAGGAATTTGATGACATTGAAGAGCAAGGTGTAACCAACGACGAACTTTCAGGCGAAAACCGGCACACCGGACAAGTTGCGTTCAACTTGAGCCACTCGTCTATACACTCGGCGTGAAAATAATGATTACACTCCGGGATGGTTCTCACCTCCTCTTTAGGCTCGTAATCTGAAAGGCATATTGCACAAGTGCCATCGTCCTTGGGCAATCTACAACTTTCTCCCAGTACGGTTTTTGGGTAGGATTCGATTGTGGGCCCATCTAGGCCAGTGGTTGATGGTGGTTGTGGGGTGATTGCAATCGAGAAAAGGTCGATACTTTGGCGGCGGCTATGATTATAGGTTCCCGCCTTGCTACAAGCGTAACATATGAGTCCAATGATGCAAACCAATGAGGGTACGCCGATACCTATGCTTAACCCGTATTTGGCACCCCTCGGAATACCTATAAGCAATGATATATGGTCAGATAAGCAACAATCCGCGGGCAGAAGTTATTTTCGTGCTCACTATGCTCGATTTTACGCAAAAAAATGAACTGAAAACCAAAAAAAGGAAAAAAATGATGAAGATATTCCGTGGTCCTAATGGGGTTTAGAATATCAAAAATTTGAAGACTATTGAGGTTTGGATATTTGTTTCTTTTTACCCAGTCCTAGAGGGAAATGGTACTATAGTAGCTAGAACTAACTGGCATATACTCAAAGTCAAGTTTGTTTATCTGTCTCTTTCTAAATTTGACTAGTTAATATATATATATATATATATATATTAACTACAATAGTAGCTAGAAACTAACTGGCATATACTCAAAGTCAAGTTTGTTTATCTGTCTCTTTCTAAATTTGACTAGTTAATATATATATATATATATATATATATATATATATATATAAGATTAGGTTCAGGGGTTTATTTGGACGTATCCACATATGAATATAAGTAATTTGTAAGCAATTTGTGCACACGTTCATGAAAAACAAAAAAATGGCTTCAGTTACTTTTATGCATATGTGCATACCGTCATGATGAATTGTTACCGGGGTGTTCCTTAGTTTTTCATTTTTTTTTTGGGGGGTGGGGTTTCCCCTGAACCGCCCTCTCTATGTGAATCATTGAAAAATTCCCGATATTTGAAAATGCATATGTGAACCGACATCTCAAATGATCCATATGGGTTCAAATATACGTCTTCAAATGGATTTCTTCAATGATTCACATGTGAACTTTTCTTTTAACCTTTCCTTTTTACATTCTCACAATGTTTACCCTTCTTATTTGTACATCTAAAAGTAAAGATTATAACCATTAAGGCGACTTTATGCATAATTTCCAGGACTAGTATTACACAAAGGGCTGTTTACTACCTCCTCAACGCCTCTTACCCTCTTACCAGGTAAGAGACGCTTACCCGGTCAGGGGTGTTGCTATTTACCAACCCCTCTTACCGATGACGCTGACTCAGATACTGAACCTAGCTAAGGGAGGACTCTTACTGGGTCAGTGATTAGTGCGACCTAGACTGCACTCTTACGCGGTTAGCGTTTACCCAACTTCTGTTGGTAAACGTCCCCTAAGGCTTCTATGCATCTAATATTGTCTATTTATATTAAAGTTAAGTCAGATATCCAAATCTCATACATTATATAGTTCAATAGTTACGGTCCTTGTGTTATGACCGTTGTTTGATAAGTAAATTGATGATTGCAATTAATTACCAACCACGAATCAGTTTGATGAACATTGAACCTCAACTAATAACAGTCATAGGTAAATGAGAGTTAAAATCGACCCACCGAAGAAAAAAAGAAGGATGGATATAATATGAAATGAACCAAGTTCATAAATATAACTAAGAAGCATTCCATTCTTTTATAACAATTTCTATATGAACCTTCATTTCAGTTATCCTCTCACAGAGCAAATGAGACCCACAATCAGACAACGATGAGAAAACAAATAGTGACAAACATATTGCACCAAAATTGTGTTATATCTATGATCTTTGACCTTATACTTCATTGGTCGTAAACTAGGGGCTCCTTTGGTTTGACAAAATGTTTTTGAGGGATTTGGATTTCATGGAAGGATTTGGAATCTGGTTTGTAGGATCTGGAATTGGATTAAACTCCATTCTTTATGAATAATTATAAAGACATATCATACAAATAATTAAATTACCATTTTCTTTATCGAGTATTACAAAATAAGTGTTTTAACATATTTTAAAACATTATTACAAATAAATCGTACAAAAGCATCCGAAATACAACTAGAGCATGGGATTTCTAAATCCTATGCATGTGGGATTTCATTGAAATCCCAGGATTTCAATTCCGCATTTTCCTTTAAACCAAAGGTGGGATTGGGATCGAATCCAATTCCAAATCCTGCAAACCAAATGGGCCCTAGAAGTATTTAATCTAGTTTTAAAAAACGACTTCTAGGATCTATAGGAAGAGACCACGAGGGAAGAATAATAACATCAAGTTCTGTAAGAAAAAAGACTCAAAGAATATGACAACAGTTGTAATATAGACAAATACCAAGATCCAAATTTGACGAACGACCCTTATTTTAGTAAGCAAATGAAAAGAATGAAAATGGTTCCTTCCATATAAGATCATATCGGCATATACCTAAACCAAAATATGTTATTGCTATTCGGGCAACAACCGCTAGCAAATATAATAAATGGGTGTGTCGTCTATGTTTAAAATGGACTATGTTGTATTTTATTCGCTAGGTTACCGACCCATTGTGTTAATAATTATGTTAAAATATTTTATTTTGATGAAATTTTGTAATAGATCATGTGGAGTTATTTTTTATGAATACATGTTTCTGAATGGTGCTAATCAAAGCAACTATCATGAAAAAGAACAGATATAGAATCATATAAAATTATAAGCGATTAAGACACTCAAGTACTAAATGGCATATCTGTAGAACAAAATTAACATTCAATTAGGTCTATCACATAGTACATATTATGATGTTATGGATTTTTGATGGGTTGATTTACTCATTTCTATCGAATTTTGGCCGAATGATCAAGTTTCACAATCAAATTCATGTAGAAATCGAGCAGGCAGAGTGTTTATCAGTGTAAATTAGCTACGAGTTATCTGCTATACGAGTGATGTTGATTAATGACTCAATTTGATTTAAATTGTTGGGATAGTGTAAGTCGCAGAAGCCAGATGAAAAGGTAAAAGCATATCAACAAGAAGCAATCTAGCTTTAACGGTAGTACATCCTGCATAAAAACATGTAAAGAGTGAAAGGAGCTTACCACGGGATGAAGAACCAAAGCAAGCAGTGTCTCCATCATCGCTCTTCAATCCACAAGTTCTACCATCAAGCTCACAAGATCTACAAAACGGCCTAAACCAAATCAACGTCAATTCATTCCTGATATCGCCGTACCGCCTAAGCGGCACCGAGATCGTCTTCATAGCAAGGCAACTCGCCGGTATGTGTCCTAAAGGAACCCAGCCTGCCCTCACCGCGAAAACGGAATGATTCACGCTTCCTAAGCATGGAAACGGAAGCATCGGCACATTCTGGAATGTCGATCCAGAATTCTGCGATGAACAGTTAAAAAAAGTGTAGCTCTCCATCATACTGAAATCGAAAGGTGTGTCGGTTGGTCTGATATCGACGATTCTTTCCGGCCGACAGAAGTCAGGTTGAATATCGATCACCTGTGAAGCGTTACGCGATCTTATATTCCCGATTCAAGTCTAATGAAAGCCACAACTACCACTTCTACCGCCGAACCAAATCGAAATCAAAAAAAGTAAATAGACCAAAACCTGTGAAGCGTATGAAATATGTTTGACGATGAATGATGATCGAGACGACGGGAGCTTGAGGAGTGTTTGATTTTTGTTGTTACATGAGAGATCAAAGCCGGGGAATCCACACCGTGACGGATGTCGATCGCGGAGGCGGAAAGGGAAACGGATTTGAGGTCCGGTGAGGCTGCAGGAGGCCGGTAGACAGTCATCGTCGCCGGAGATTGATTTAAATAAGAAGAAGATGAGAAATAGTAGGGGTTTTCTCTTCTCCATGGAGTTGTTGAGTTTGGCCACCATTGTTAAAGTAAAGAATCTGCTCAGTGCTCTGACGGTGGTGATGGATGGATATTGACTCCATTGAAAGTTTTCTGATTTCTTTTTCTTCAATTTAAAGCATATATTTAATTATAAATTATAATTAATATAAGTTTAATTGATATTTGGGTTTCTTTGGAATCGCTTGTTTGAAACAATTTATGTTTTTCTACAAAAAAATTTATCAACTTATTATAAGTTAAAATGACTTTAACTTATTTAAAAATTTCTTATTACCGGTTTGATATCGATATAAGTTGTTTATCCAAACACTCAAAAATGGTTATTACCGGTACCACACTAGAATAAGTTAATAAGTTGTTTTTATAAGCAATCACAAACACCCCCTTGATTTGATAAATATTTTTTATAAATATGTAAATTATAATAAATAAATGCTTATCATTTCTGTAAAGATAAATTGTATAAAAAAATAACATATTTTAATTTGATTTCTATTTTGGGTAACGTACTTCCCAAACTTTTATTTTTATACCTAAGTTGTAAAGTTTTAAACATTTAAGTACCCGGGTAAATGGTTGAAGCATTAATTGGTTATCATACTGATGCGGCGAATGATGTGGTATCCAACTCAATATTATTTGTTATTCAACCCAATTTTTCATCCAATCACTCGCCACATCATCATGGTAACCGGTTAATGTTTCGACCGATTACATGGATACTTAAATGTTTAAAAATTTACATCTTAAGTACCAAAATGAAAGGTTAAATATGGTGAATAAAATAAGAATAAAGGTTAAGAAAAAGTCCATACCCAAATTCCAAAAAAAAAATCTATTTAAAAATACATATGTGAATGCATATTAATAATCAGTAATACTGGTTCACATATTTACATCCTATAAACCAAACACCCCTTAAATTAAATACAGTGTTTGCTTTTACCTTTTACTTAATATTCAGTTTTCAAATTCTTAAAAACCGTACTGCTAATTTCAAAATAACGATATATTCTATCAGTGATTTCATCTGTGATGACACGTAAAATATTCATAACCCTGATTTATAATTGACGCATATCAGATTATCAGCCACCCCCTGTAAATTTCTTTAGTGTATCCTTAACTCTACATAGAAACTCAAAACATATCCTTAACGATATTCCCGATAGATATATAAATCCAAATCATTACACCGATGAATCCTCGTTTTCATACTACTTATAACGTTTCAAGCCCAAAATAGCAAATTCACTCGTGCCATGATGAACATGTGATCGTCGTTGATCTGGTTGAACCATAGGTTGCATGTGATTCGATCAACGGATGACATTGCTAGCTAACATGTTTTTTAAGTATATAATATTTATATACATCAAAATAGAACAAATAAACTCACGCACCCTTCCCACCTTCTTTAATCGAACAAAACCTTTAGGCAATACACTACTTGCTCAGTGCATTTGCCACGTTTGGTCGGTAACGCATTGCGGGTTGGTCGTTGCTGTATTTTTTTTTTTTTTTTAACAAAAACAGGAAGAAGGAAAATTGTCACTAAACATTTATTTCTGTTATTTACAGGGAACAAAATACTTTTACTGATCACATAATTATATCAATTTCAACATTTTTTGACAACAGATTTAAACAAGATCAGTATAGATTTGTTGGTTAGTTCTTTGTGCCTGCAATGCAGAGACACGTGTTTGAATAATACACCAAAATTTTAAGTTAAATACAACAAATTCGCGAACGATGGGACTCAAACCTAAACATTTAGTACAAAAGGCAAGGACATTTACCATATCGCCATTAAAGTCTTGTTATATTATTTCAGTTCAAAAAAGAATATGATAACACTCAACAAAACAATAAGATGAAATCTTTTAAGAACATAAATTTTGTCTGTTACGAAAAAACCATCAAAAAGTGGTATTTGTCAGCGTATCCTTTTATATAATGGGTTGTTTGTTTACCTCTTAATAATTATATTAAAAGTTAGCCTCTAAATTGTTAAGATGTGAATCTTACTTGACAAAAAAAATATATTTTATTTTGGTTAAATTTGTAGATGCTTGTGGTCGATAAAGTTGGAGGAATTACTTAAATCAATGGAGTAATGTCCAAACTTCTAGACACATGGTGGACGGTGTATTTATTTATATGTGTAAGGGGTGTTTGTAGCTTAATGAATGGTTACGGAGTAATTGCACAATGAAACAAGATACATTTTGATTTTAATTTTTTTTGTCTCAATTCATGTTATAATATTGTTTTATGTAGTTTTGATAAAACAATAATATTTTTATTTTTCAATAAAATATAAATATTAAGATATCATAAAAAATTGAAAAAAAATATCGATATTAGTATCAAAAAGACTATTTAAAATTTCTCGTTTTTTATGTATTTCTTTAATTTATTTTTTTATTTTTGTAAAGATAATGATTAAGTATTTTGTTATTAACTTAGTGTTTATCTTAATTATATTTTAGATTTTTATTATTTAAAATGAGATGTTTATCTAGCAGTTAGTTACACGAATTTAAAAATAGAGCGTTAATAAATTGTATTTACGCAAAATTACTTGTAATCTTAAATTTTATGTCATATGCATCAATAAACAGTACTTCATTCATAAAAAATGGTTTTGAAGGGGGGGTTTTGTCAAATGCTTTATATAATACTAGAAGAGTACTCGTGCAATGCATCGAGACACATCTCGATTTCAATGTCTCGTTTTATTCTTCATCTATGTCAGATCATATTATTTATTCATCACAAAAATCAAACACCAATTTATCTTAATTTATTCAGACAGATTAATGCTTATAAATAATTTAATAGATTTAGAACTTAATGGACACAAAATCAAACAACCCCTTGAATATATACACACACGTATTATTTGAAATACATTTATTATTGTATAAGTACATCTTCTACAAATTAATCATTATAAAAGTGTCAAGAGGTTTCAGGTTCAAATCCAATAAGGAATAAAAATCTCTCTTTGGCCACGGAGGTTCAAATGCGGTTGACTCCGGATTACTTGCAAAGCAGATAGTCGTCATGAAATTGGTCGGCTCAGATAGCGGGTTGAATATTCATGTTAATCAAAATAAATACTTAAAATATTTAAATCTTCATATATTAATGATTAAAAAATCATTTTCTTTTATTGATTTATTTTTTTAAATTTTTGTAAGGATTTCATATCGTCCAAAGTTGATTAAGAAAACACCTACTACACATTTCGTTTTCAAACCAATTTTATATTCAAAATAAATATGGGTGAGAGCTAAATATCTCTTATTTTTAATTTCAATTATTTTATATTTAAAAATTTAATTAAAAAAATCAGTTTAATTATATGTTTTCCTCTTAGTCATTTCTCTTCTAAAATTAAGAAAATAGTAACAGATTTGTAATTGGCAGGTCCATAATTTACGGAGGGGTCAATGTGTAAGAAAATTGAAGTTTTTGAACCAGGTCCGCAATTACAGTGACTAAATATGTAAATCTTTGGAATTTAGGGGGTGTTTGGGATTGCTTATTTAAAACAACTTATGCTTTTTTGTAAAAGTGTTTATTAACTTATGTGGTATCAAACCGGAGTTAAATAAAACAGGGTTAAAATTGTAAACTGGTAATCAGCAGTTTTTCATAAGTCATGAAGGATTAACTTATCAAAAACAACTTATTACTGGTTTGGCACCGGTATAAACAGTTTTTTACTTCTTATCCAAACACCATAAAACAACTTATCACCTGTGCCATACTGAAATAAGTTAAAAAGCAACTTTTATAAGCAATCTCAAACACCCCCTTAATTACATTGCTGCTCAATACCTTAGTGAATAACCCATTGTGCGAGCCCCCACTGGGGGGCCACTATGCCAAAAGCGATAGAAATCTCATCCCTCTCTTTCCTTTTTTTCGCCCCCCATGTCGCAGGAAAAAAGACATCCACAGTTGGTGACATATTTTTGCGGACGAAATAACTAATTTACATATTTGGTCCCTGCAACCACGAATCTGGTTCAAAAACTTTATTTTTTACACTTTGACATCTTCACAAATTACGGACCTACCAATTGCGGACTTATGGCTATTTTCGTAATTTTAGTAGAGAAATGAGTAAATGATGAAACTCACTTATCAAAATGGCTATTTTAACTAGTTTCACTTTATATTTAAGGTTTGACAGGCACAACACATATAAGTTTAAAAATAATTATATAAACTTTTACAGTGTTTTTACTGGTTGAAGGTCCAACATCTTTTGAACCTTGACAATGTTTTACTGTAAAAGCTTAGTGCTATTTTTGTTCTCACAAAAATAAGTTGGTCTCACGTGAACCCAACCCTTATATAGGATTTGGTTCTAGTGGGAAAAGAGTTAAGATGAGAATCGTAAGAAAAGATGCATCAAGATATACCCTTTGATACACTGTAGGAATAGATGCATCAAGATATACCGGATCAATCCCTATATCAAGAGCGATTCATATGTAGGGTTGAGATAAAAAGTGATTAAAAGTCCATATCTCTTCTTATGCTTCTCGTTTTAACTCTCATTCTCACATGATTTTTTGCCTATATATACACACATATATATAGAGAGAAGGGGGGGGGAGACGAATGATCATGTGATAATATGAGTTAAGGTCAAAAGTATAAAGGGATCTGGACTCTTTATCATTTTTAATCTCACCCCACCCCATAAATTGCCCTTATCACGTGAATTGATTTTGTGCATTACGTTAATACTGATATTCAATTAGGATTGATCAAATGGTGAAAACCCTTTTTTATCTTTCTCACTGTTACTTTTATTCTCACCATAAACCAACCATATATAGAAGAAAGATCATGCAAGAAAAATAATTAAGGTGATAAACGTAAGAAGTGATCTGAACCATTTATCACATTTAATATAAAACTCACTCATGAATCAAACTTGATACATGAATTGATCTGGTGCAACTCTTCTTATATATA